TGCTAAAAAATAAAACATGCGGACTGAAGCTGTCTTTTTAGTAATGTATTTTAAGTATTATAGATTTTCTAATTATTATATTATTTCTTTTATAGTATTATAGAATTTCTTTTACTGTTTCCATTTTTTTAATTTAGGGATGAAGCGATACCACTTTTTTACAAACTGATATGAGTTAGAGTATTTTAATTTGTGTACTCGCCAATACCAAGTACCGATTCCGATACTTCTTCGATTTGGTTTCAATGAAAGTGCAAGTAATTTTGAAGAAGTTTTAATTTCTGACAGTAGCAAGGATGAACTCAAAAATCTTTAACCGAAGGCTATTGACCTTATTCTAAAATGCGGAAGTGCGCCTGTTTTCGCGATTGTCTTAGAACTTCCGATTCAGTCGCCTATGGGAGAAATGACTAGGAATAATAAACGGCAGAAAATGGCCAAACTACTTGCTCAACAAACAAATGTTTGCATGACTACACAGACCAAGTAGCATAATATAATAAGAAAATATTAAATTGCAACATCAGGCAGTGTAACGAGCAGTTTTTAACGTCAAAAAATGAATGGAAGTGAATGTGACCGGAAGTCGCGAGACAAAAAGATTCAAATGGCAGCGCCCGCTCGACAGCTGAGAATAAGGTGAATTCCAAGCTAACAATAAACACATATTGTTGATAATGTAAATCGACAGGCCTTATCAATTACCGATTAAGCATGGACATTTAAAGGATAATCCTTGCGTATGTGCAGTTTCTGTTACCTTATGGAGTCTCTCTCTGGACTAATCTATTAATATATAATACATTAATTAATACATTAAAACATGGAAATCAGGTAGGACTACAAATTACATCAACATAATGAAATACTGTTTAGTGGTATCGATGCGTGGTATCGGCATTTCATGCACGATACGAGTATGAGTATTTTAACCAAGTATCAACCCGATACCTGATACTGGTATCGGTGCATCCCTTTTTAAACTATGATTTTGTCTTAATAATTTTTTAAAATTTGTCTATAAAGTTTTTATTTTTTACTTATTTTGATTTTGGTTTTAACTTTAGATTTTATATTAGCATAAAAATTATTAATATTTTATAAAAACAAGCTGAAATTAAACAAGTTTATTTTTTGTAGAGTTTTTTTCTCTCCATTTAACACTTTATTTTCACTTTACACTTTTGAAAGCCATTTAATGGCTTTAGCTTTAGCTAACATATAAATCCGGCTTTGATGCTCTCTCTCAGTCATTTTGAGTGTCTGAGTAATTTGTTTTGTGATGTCTTTAAAAGGCTGAAGTAATGAAACTGCAAACACTGCAGCACATTCTAGTCATGCAAAAGCAGTGAGCTGCAGTTAGGAAACATACATTCTTTTTTCTTCTTCTTTAGTTTGACCCACTTCCTCACGTGGATAAAACTGGGCCAACAAAGAATGTAGAAAAGGAGAGGACGGATAAAAACCACAGCAAATTAGTCAGCTTTATGACACTGGCCTCACAGCCTTTACAGGAAACAATACAGTATGAGAAGGCAAATATCTCCCGCTTTTTTACACATGAAACACGAAACTTGTTAAGAAGCTTGACTAAAAATGAGGGTAAAGTGAAAACAAGCCCTTCCTGACAGCGCTGGATTAAGAGCCTCCTGAATGTACTGTAAGGTTAAAGAGAAACTACTTGTTGTTTTAGATAAAGGGAAAGAAAAACAAATAGTAAAAGTGAGATGGTCAGTGTGCGTGATCCTACAGATCACACACTGACTCGCCACTCTCGTAAAAAGCAACATGATCCACAGGAGACAAAACATTCGGGCTGACCTGAGATCAGTTAGGCCGTTCCCCTACAGATATTGCCACGTGCTAAAACTGTCCCTGCTGCACAGCTGTGTGGCCCCAATACTGGAAATAGACTCCTGCTATACCAGCCCATGAGTCATGGGTGCAAAATGGAGGCAACAGTTGATGCAGAGAAATGTGTACTGTTTTGGACACAGCAGCTCAATGAATCCGAAATTATATAGGTTTAACCTTTACCTGACATGCACTCGTAGGCATGGGCTGGTGTTGTGCCGTAAAATGCATCCCTGCCAAATTATGCACCCCCTTGCTAAATTCACTACCTGATTACCTAATCCCAACTACACCTTCTAATCCCAATTAATCCCATACAAGTGAATGAGGGGGTGCATAATCTAGCAGGGGTGCGCTTTTCGGCACTATACGTTTCTGAAGAAATGATAACCTTGGATAAAAATACCATGGTTTCACGTAGCGCTGCACAATATATCATTTCAGCATTGATATCACAATGTGTCTATCCAGTAGTCAAATTGCAAGATATGCAATGTTGGGTTGGGATTATAGTTGACCAGGCAGAAACCACAGGTTATAACACAAGATTTGTGGAATCACTACAGAATTGAACCATAATATACCAAAAGTTTGTCATTTGTATTCGTTTCAATTAATTCCTGTAACTGTGTAATCATTTTAAGATAGTTTAGAGCATTCAGGCAGAAGAAATTGTAACTAATAAAGATTATTTTTATTGGATTATTTAAATGATGAAGACCAATTCACTGTTATTTTACATGTAATTATTCAATTAATTTACCTGAATATGGTTAGACTCCCCAGAAAACCACAAATTATGTCTCTTAATCTTTGCTCCATTGTGTTTTTTTATGACTGTAGTTTGTTTATTTAATGTAAATAATAAATAATATAAAATATATATTTAAATAAAATAATATATAGACCTATACATGAATCAATCTAAATGAATGACTTTCAAAATAGAGTTAAGTCATCTGGTATCTGGGATATCGCAAAATAAATCACAGAGAAAAAAATATCGAAATGTCAGATTTTTCCCATTTCGTGCAGCCCAAGTTTCACGATATTGTGTTTACTACTATAAATAAGTTATTTTTTAATGTCTGGGTATAGTCGGCGTCAATAACCTTGTGGATAAGTGCGCTGACACATAGCACCATGTATAACACCTGCATATAGCACTCACGGCAACCCAAGTTCAATTCCCAGCTGAGGTCCTTTGCCGGCCCTTCCCCTCTCTCTGCTTCCAATGCTTCCCTGTCTGTAACCTCCACTGTCCTTTCCAATTAAAGGTTAAACCCTCCCTAAAAATAATTCTATATAAATGTCTGGGTGGAAAAAAAATCTTTTGCTCGTATGTAGGTGCATAAGTTGTTTTTTTAAATGTTTGCTGAATCGTAGGCTAACAAACACATCTTTGGAAAAAAAACTAATATTTAAGACAACTTACTTATACTGCAAGAACTGTATTACAGAAAATGTTAGCGGTAAACTTTGAAACAGGATATCGTACCATGCATATGCACTTGATAAACAATCTAACTCAAATTATTTACCCCCTTAGCATTTTCTTTTTAACGTTACCTTTAACGAGCTAAATTGTAATATTACCTGATTAAGTGTATCTGTCAAATACAGAATGCTTCGAACTGAAACTACTAAAATAATGTTTGAATGGGATTTATGTACTTGCCTAATGTAAAAAGAATATCTATGGTTAATTATGCTAAAGGTGTAATCATGGTTTTGTGGCATATTTGTGACATAAACACAGTTTTACTAAAAATACTAAGGCTAAACTGATGCGTTTAAGAAAACTGTCCACGTTTTTTACTTGCTTTATTTAACTAATTATTTATTTTTCTAAGGGTCATTATTACAAAAAAGACTAGCAGGTATAGGCTGCATTATTTTTAACAATAAAACTATTAACATTTGGCACAAGTTGGCCTACTTTTTGCTGTTGATTCAAAACATCTCAGTAGCTTTGGACAAGATTTGAAAAGGCTAAGTGATCATTGAAGCTGTCAAACATTGAAATAAATCTCTACTTACATCGTATCTGCAGTTTGTTGTCGATCATATTGTGTAAAGAGAATATTCTCATGGCGTGAAGACTCCTGTCAGCGAGTCCAAGCTTAGTCAATAGAACTCTGGTGACTCAGCGGTGACTAATCTAAACGCCTCTGATTGGCCACTGCAATCATAAACGAAACATAAACTTGTGTGATTGGTTAAGATGCTCTGTCTGTAGAAGGCTAACTTTTATTTTCTTTTTCACCTTAAATGCGACAGCTAATTGTTTTTTAAGTCATTAGTGTAGCATTTTTTATTCATTTTTGGAGGTAGTTTAGTCACAAACCACCATATTTTTATATCACACGTCGTTTCAATTATAGTGAAGGTGCAGCATCCATGGCACATATAACCCAATATAATAACCTTAGTTTTACTTCAAATGCCATGATTAAACTATGTTTTGTGTAACAAACCATGATTGATTTGTAATTAAGTCTGTTTTTTTTTTTATTTGTGATAAGTAAATTCATTGGTGCAAAAAAAAGAAATAAACGTAAACGATTGGTTAAGTTGCTCTATGTGTAAAATGTAGACTTCAATTTTCTTTTTCACCTTAAATGCGAATGTAAATAGTTTTAAGTCACTAGTGTAGTCCTTTTCTTCTCATTTTTGGAAACAATTTTGTCACAAACCACTATATATTTTAATAACATCGTTTACGTTATAGTGTAAGTGTAGGAATTAACCTTACATATTTCTATGGGTCGCTCATATATATATATAATAAAGCTTTGTTAAATGTTTTATTGAGGGTTATAAGTGATTGAATGAGTTTCTGCCTGATTGAGCAGTTTTACATTCGTAAAATTAAAACCGGTTTAAGACCAACAAGACAATAATTCAGTGAATTTAAGACTTTTAAATGCTTAAAATTCTGTTTTAAAGTTTAAGACATTTTTAGACCTTGCGGACACCCTGCATAACCATATTTAATAACCTTAGTTTTACTACAAATATGATTAAACTATGTTTTGGGTAGCAAACCATGGTTGATTTATAGTTAGGTCAGTTTTATTTATTTGTCGTAAGTAAAATCCTTTATTAAGAGTCATGGTGCAAAATAAAAGAGAACAAACACAATGTAATTTTTATCCATTTTATTGTATGATATAAAACTAGAAAAGTAAGACTGTTTCAAATTCATAGACACATGTCCATATTTTATATATATTCTACAGTCCACACCTTGATGCAAATACAGTGATCATCAGCTGATGGGTTATTTTTCTCAAAATGAATATGTCTGTAATATTGCATAGAAAAAGGCACAGCTCCAAGGCTTGAAGATACAGCCTCTCTTAATGAGCAGAAAAAGGGTTTAGACCCTCCACCACATGTTGACTATTTCTTTTATTCTTTCTCTCACACACTCACTCATCCACTCATACACATGAATAATCCTAGTGGTCACCATCCTGAAACCACTTTCCGCAAACGTGTGGCCTGAACCATGGGACAGTGAGATACCATTTAAAAAAACAACAACCAATATCATCAAAAATCATGCTGCCTTTCTTCTTCTTCTTTTTACATTTGGCATTGAGGGTTCTCAAAAAGATTTGTTTTCCCCAGAAATAGGCTTTGGAAGATTGAAATCTAAAAGTTTGCAGAGAATAAAGTATTGCTTCACAAACCTTTCCCTTGCACACAATCTGAAATACATAAAACATTAAATACTCATAATTAAATAGGGGCAGAGCATGTTGATCTCAACATCTAGCACGAACGCCACCCCAAATGATCATACGAGAAACATAAAATAATGCATATTAAAACAAGATGAAACAAACATAAACAAAATGGCTTCCACCCCAATTAATAAGCAGTGATACATTCCCGTAAGCATAATACATTCCTATCTCATATTCTGTACAAATTACAATCTGGATGTTAGCTTAACATCGGAAGAAATAAAATAAATATATTTACACAGGAAACAAAACAATAAATAACTTAAAACAAACACTCCAAATCCAAAAATCCTAGAAGTAATATTAATCATAGTTTTGATTCCATGGTTTTTTTGTCCGGCTCTCATTCACGCATGTTTTCAATTCGCAGACATTCTCTCTTTTGAACTCTGGGTGAAAACCAACCAAAAATGTCTCTTAAAACATCAGATTATGACTGGTCACACTTATTGAAGAATAAATGTCTACGTTTTCCTCTCTCTCTGACATTGCACGCTCCTTCCGTCCCCAGTTGATCCTTACCAAGGCATATTATGCACAGTTTTTGTCGGTGTGTATATTTAATTAGCTAGTTTATGTCAGTCTAATACAGCTGATATGATAAATGGTCCCTTTCCTTTTATGTCAGACACATAAAATGATCCTTCCAACCATCCTCATTGCCTTCAGTGTTTCTTAATAGCAAATATACTGTGCTGTTTATTGCACATACATGCAGAATACTTTCCCCTCATACTTGTGCATATCAAACTCCCCAGCTAAAATGTAATATGGCCATATCTACTGGCCAAAACGACACTAGAACCCAGCAGGACATCAGAGAGAAAGTCTGACTGGAACATGAACAGACACAATCAATAAAACTCAAACAAAACAATGGTATAAATATAATAAAATAAGACCAAACCATACAAAAATCATCTGTACAATTATGAGCTATAATCCTGCATGCATTAGTATGTTAACAGAAATGTACCGTTGAGAGATGTGTATGACAGAAATGTTTGGCAAACAGATGATGATGGTAACTGAATAGTACTTATAAACTTGCATGTCCAGTACGGTGGTCTGAATTTCGCCCCATTTTGCATGAGCAGACATGCATAGACCCTCTTTGCATTAGTGTAGCATTAAAACTGAACCGGCTAAAACTGAGTGATGATAGAAGGACAAAAACAAAGGCCAAAAAAGGGAAGTTCCAACAATGCCTTGACACAGATAAAAAAGGAAATGGCTGAGAGAAGTTGACAGTTTGCTTATTACTGATCAGAAAAGCATTGATTGCATACAGTATTTGTAGCGTAAAGGGGTTTAGCATTGGCTTATTAATTGAAGAAATGTATCTGTAAAACAATGTGCATCAGAACAAACGTTCGCTTATTGCCAGCTGAGATGTAAACAAATGGAATCTTGAGCCGTTATGGCAGATCGCAAGAAATTTGGTTGGTTGACTGTAAATATCTGACCACTACACACATCAAATGTATAAATAACCTGGTAAACCACAATCCATAAATGCTTTCATTTCATAAATATATATATATGTTTTGTTGAAGGAAGGTTAAATGGATAGTTCCACCAGAATGAAAATCTTATCATTTACTCAACTCTATATTGCTCCAGACCAAAAAGATTTGATTTCTTCTGTGAAGCAGAACATAGTTTAAAGAATGGTGTGCAAAGAATACTGAAACTCATTGACTTTCATTATTTGGACAAAATAAATTTTTAATATAGTCAAGAGATAAAGGGCCCTATCATACACCCAGAGCAATAAGGAGCAAGACGTGTTGGGCACGATTTGTTGCTATTTTTAGACCAGCGCAACAGTCATTTTCACATTTTGCACCATGTTGTTTACATAGCAAATCTATTTGCGCCACTTTGTGGACTCATGGGTGTGCCGATCTATAAAGGAGGTGTGTTAAGGCGCATTGCTATTTTGAGGAACTGAAATAGGCTGCACCATTAACTATCTAAAGTACAGCGCAGAGCACATTAGTTATGCGCCTATGCGAGTCCAAACGCGTACGCATTGCTTAATACACACAGGATGTACAGCAATAAAATGTTATTTAATTAACATTGAAATTAAAATAAAATACAATGCAATTAAATGTCTCAAAAATAATTATTTTCTACATAAATATAAAAACCACTGCCTCTATGCCTTATCTCGAGTGGCTTTTTTCAGTTTATTCATGACAATTTGCATTTTATAATGTTATTATTAACAACACGTTTATATTTGTCCACCTGTCAGGTTTTGTAGACGAATGCATCACCATATGGGGCATAAGAATAGGACGCGTGTTTGGATATAATTACTGTTCATTTATTCCTTTGCTGGAAATTAGAACTAAATTTAGAAATAGTTTTGAAACAAATCTTTGTGCTTAAACGAAATTAAATATGTAGGATGAAAGACGTCTTTAGTAAAGTGCGTAACACCGTTTTCTTATCCACGGAAGTGAAGGAGTAAAGAGTAAAAGTAAAGAAAAAGTAAAGAGGCCGAATGGAGGATGCTCATTTCTCTGCAGACAGAGACTCTGACTGGTTTAATGTACGATATGCTCAAAACACACCCATAACTCATTAAGAGAATAAGCACAACCCTGTTAGACCATGCGCTGGGGTGCAGAGCATATTTTTCTATCCTTAAAATTGAAAAAGTGGATTCAGACACGCCCTAATGCTTTTGCTTCATGTGCTTTAGACTTTGCACCTAGATCGTTAAAATAGAGCCAATAGTCATATAGTCAAGCCTGAAACTATTCATGCCCCTGGCAAATTCTGACTGCCACTTTTTGTTCATAAAAGCGGAGAAATATTTTTTTAGACAATGATGCCTATTGTAAATCATCTTATTATCTTTTAGGATAATTTTCTGTCATTTCTGGGAAAAAAAAACCTGCTGGTTGATTTAAATTAACGAAGTAGGAATTTACAAGGGCTGTGAATAATTTTAGGCTTGACTGTATCTTTTTTATCCGACAGAAGAAAGAAACTCATACAGCCTTGGAAGGAGGTTGAGTAAATGGTGAACTACCCCTTTAAGCGGAAGCAGACAAACAATTCAATGAATAGATGACCACATATTAACAGCCTATTTTAAATATTACTAAAAAGCAATAAAACAGCTCTGAACATAAAAAAACACCACATAAACATAAAATAGCAACATTCTGCTTTCAAAATCATTGTGCTTTGTGAAAATGAACATGAGAACAAGGCTGCCGTTGCACATTCTTGCACCTGTATGCTGAGAAGGGGAAAGAGAGACAGTACAGCTGATAATCCATCTTGTTCAATTAGAAATGACGAGGAAATAAAGAGACGAGACAAACAAACAAGAATTTACCAAGTGGTCGTAAATGATGAAGGCACTCGGATCGGCCAGAATCCAAAATGTGTTCCGTAAGATTTCCTCATGTTCAATTTTTTGGGAAAGGCAAGCACAGTGCATGCACAGTGTTGAGAAGTAGTACTGGGCAACATCACCATTAAAATGGACATTAGTCTTTAAAAACAAAACAAACACAAAAAAAAACTGTACAAAAAAACCAAACACTCACAAAGTAATTCTTCAGTTTTGTTCTGTTCTGCATTTAAAAACTCTTTGATTGGATTTGCATTTCCTCCCCCGAGCAAGTTCCCTTCCAAACCCCGGTCACGATCCCACAAGCACCTCCATGATATGGTCCAGTTCTGTGAGGTCCATTTTGAAAGGCTGGTTGGAGCTGACAGCAGGAGCGGCACCACTGTATGGCGAAAAAGTCTTGAGAAGCTCATCCGCAGTCACCATGGGCGCCAGTTTTGATGGTGCCGCACCTGAGGATGAGGTGCAGGGGTCAAAGTCGTACATGGAGGTGTCAATGTCTGCAAAGAGGATGTCGTCCAGAGCTAGGTCCGTCAGAAATCCAGAGGACGAGGCTGACGGAGAGGTGCTCATGTCCAGGCTGTTAGGAGGAAGAGTCTCTGGTGTGTTGGGGACCGCTGAACGTTCCTCGGCCAGCGGGACCAGCCCTTCAAGCTTCGGGCTGCAGGGCTTACTGCAGTCTTTGGAGTCCAAGGCCCCTGAGTTTAAGCTGGGGGGACACAACTGGAGAGGCGAGGGGGAGGTAGCACCGGGCGCTGACGTAGCTGTAGGTAAAGGTGAAGGACAGAGCTCCTCAATCTCATCCAGGGCTGAAGAGAAGCTATCTCTGGCCACAGATGGAGAGAGTCTTGATGTAGGAGCAGGGGGAGCGAGCGGTGAGGGTGATGTGCAAAGGGAGACATTGTCCTCCTCTAAAAGAGAGGCCGGGGTGAGACAGGCCTCCAGAGGCGCTGGGTTTGACAGGCCTGATGAAGGGGATGTCAGGCTAGAAGCGGAGAGAGCCGGGGACTGGGAGATGGGGGGCGCCACCATGGACAAAACGCTGAAAGCAGGCTGTGGCTCGCGGAAACTTTCATCTACTGGGTCATCAGGTGGAGGGGAAGGTGGGAAAAAGAGCGGTCGAAGGTTGCCCTCTTGCTTCAGTTCATCCTGGATGCGCCTCAGCATGTTGTTTATAAGCACACGTTTTTCCAGGCTGGGCTCGGTGACCGCCCGGTGGTTGTACAGCTTCATTAGAGACATGTTGAAGATAGTCTGCCTCTGCAGGGTGTAGGAGACCTTGGACAGCCCTTCGGCTCCGGCCCCTGCCGCCAACGCTTTGCCTTCCAGCCCCTCTTCATCCTCATCTAGTTTCCGCTTTGCCCCTTTACCCAACATATATCTGCATGGGGAGTAAAGAGAAACAGATCGAGTGTTAGCCACACAGACACCCATTACCTTCATGACTCACTGCTGTTTATCTCTCATGACTCAACACTGGTTCCACATAAACTCTTTTGATCTACAGAAAAAGAACTAATGACAAAAGAGCCAATCATACACGTTTCTTGAAAATGAGCTGTTAAAGGTGTCTAATGCTTTCTGCTTAAAATACTTTCTCTGTGTCATTGGAGTGTGCAGAGGCAACCACATATAAGAGAGATTTAGGGTGTGTGTCCTTCGAGTGAAAAGTGACATCAGAGACATATATATACACACTACCTGACAAAAATCTTGTCGCCCAACCGAGTTTTAGCAACAGCAAATATTAACTTGACTTCTAGTTGATCATTTGGTATCAGAAGTGGCTTACAGTGTATGAAAGGCGAAGGCCTGTAGAAAACGCTTATTTTATCAAAATAAAATATGATTATGTCTTGTTTTTTAAATATTCAATTAGGACAGTAAGGTCTGACTTTGCTTAGACAAAAGTCCTGTCATTTAACAGAAATAACATAAAGTGTAGAATATAAAGTCATGGTGCAGTGTAAAAATAATTAATATCGTGTATGACTCTCATGAGCTTGGAGGACTGCATCCGTACATCTCTGCAGTGACTCCAGTGACAAAAACTTATTAATAAAGTCATCTGAACTCCCAGAGTTCATCAAGATTCTTTAAATTCATCTTCAATGCCTCCTCCTCCATCTTACTAGGGATGAAGCGATACCACTTTTATTTACAAACCAATGCGAGTATGAGTATTTTAATTTGTGTACTCTGCGATATCGATAACCGATTCCGATACTTCTTAGATTTAGTTTCAATGAAAGTGCAATTAATTTTAAAGGAGGTTTTATTTTTTGCCGGTAAAAAGGATGAACACAAAAATCTTTAACTGAAGACTATTTCAAGATAAAAATATAAACACATTGTTGATAACCCTGTAAATCCACAGACCTTATCAATTATCAATTAAGGATGAACTTTTAAAGGATAATCACTGCACTGACACTAATCAAGTATGTGCAGTTTACGTTACTTTATGGAGTCTCTCTCTGGACTAAGCTATGAATATATAATATATTAATTAATAAATTACGATACTGAAGTCAGGTAGGACACAAATCACATCCACATACAGTAGTGAAATATTGTTGAGTGGTATCGGCATTTCATGTACGATACGAGTATGGGTATTTTATCCAAGTATCGACCTGATACCCGATACTGGTGTCGGTGCATCCCAACGTCTTACCCCAGAGATGCTCAATAATGTTGATCTCTGGTGACTCAGCTGGCCAATCCTGGAGCACCATGACTATTTATTTTTAATGTTATGTTTATACATATGTTTTAGTTGAAATATATGATGCCATAATAATGCGTGCCAGGCTTTGGAATACGAGTTTCCTAAAAGTATAGCTAGGTAGAATTGAATGTTAGAAGATTGTACTGCTTGCTTGAAAATTTCAACTAGTGGGATGCCAGTTTGTGGGCAAGACTGTTTGTTTATTTGACCAATAGCAGATAAGGGGAGTGTTTTGAACACTTTTCTTGATAATTGTACTGTTAGTTCGAATTTGCAATTCCTGACAGAAACGGTATGCTCCATTTTTTTTAAAAAAAAGTACAGAAAGGATGAGGAGAAACAGGACTGGAACATAAACAATTTTGGAAGTTTATATTTCATTCATTTATTCATTCATTCTCCTTTGGCTTAGTACCTTTATGCATCAAAGGTCACCACAGCGGAATGATCCACCAACTTATCCAACACATGTTTTACACAAGAGAAGCCCTTCCAGCTGCAACCCATTACTGGGAAACATCCATAAACACTCATTCACACTACAGACAATTTAGTTTAACCAGTTCACCTACACCACATGTCTTTGGACTGTGGGGGAAACCAGAGCACCCAGAGGAAACCCACACAACAAAAACTCCACACAGAAATGCCAAATGGCCCATAGACTCGAACCAGCAACCTTCTTGCTGTGAGGCAACAGTGCTAACCACTGAGCCATCGTGTCACAAACTACATTCTTGATTACCAAATATATAATCTATAGTACAAAATGCTAATTTTGATAAGCACTAACAAACATAACAGTTGGTTTAACCCAAGTTAGTTAAAAACACAAGAAATTGTTGCGAATAACAGATTTGTGGTTTGAAGCTCGGTTGCTATGACATTGGCCAGCAAGCTGTTGTCATATTAGCATTCGGTGCCGCCGCTGGGGTGAGAGTCAGTACAGTCTCTGTGCGTCTCCATCAGCTGCCTTACATTACAACTGTGCCAAACAGATAAGGTAACAATATGAAGACGGCTGCACAAGCATCACAGAATCCCCTGAAGAACACCTCTGAGCACAAGAATTCACACTTTTGAGCTGCAGGGGAAAGACGTTCTTCTGGAAATAAGTGTACGCGCTGCACGTTTACAGGAATACAGCTCTGACTACTCCTTCCTGAGCACTGCTGCAGTGAGAAAAGAGGCAAATGTGTGTCAGACTTTCAGTAAGTACTCACGGTAAGAATGTGTCACACGAGCGCAAAGCCCTGATCACTCCCTGCTTAAATACATGCTGGCTGCAGGAAGACAAGATCCAGCTGAGTGTTTAGTGGAAAAGGGGGATGGAGAGGAGGAGCGAATATGTGTGTGTGTGTTATCAGCTACTGTAGCTCTAGATTCATGATATGAGATATTTAAAGCACATCATATTGGTCAATGTAGTATTACAGGACACTGGATCAATCTGCTCACTGTGTTCAAGGACAGAAAAGTTGTACATTGGTGCATTTCATCATGCTTAAATGTGTGTGGTGGTTATTTTAGTTTGTCATTCAATTAAGATATTTTTATATCTTACAATTATTTAATTTAATCATTTGGTGGCCGGTTTCATCCAAACAGCTTTCAGTGTATTCAAATTATGCGTTACGTTTGAACACTTCGTGTTTCCTGGGAACTAAACTCATGAGTCATGGAATTTGGAGGATGCTCTACCAGTTCAGCAGCTTTAATAGATTTCATGCATTCTCCGATCCTAAAGTATCTTTATATCCTGATTTAACTTCTTTAATGAAACATAGACTATCGATTATCGGTTAAATTCTGAGATCCGTAATATTATTTTGAATCACGTTCACTAAGACTGTGGTTAAATATAGCAAAGGTGTAATATTGTGAAATATGAAATAATGAAATAATAAAATTTAAAACCAATTCAGGTATTCTAATATAATTTAAAATACATCTGTGTTGGCAAAGCTGAATTTTTTGCAGCCAATACTATGGACATTTCTGTCATATGATCCTTCAGGAACGCTGACTTATATTTTCTTAAAAATAAAATAAAATAAAATGAAATAAAATAAAATAAATAATATATATATATATAATTTCCCAAGAAACCATAATGACCTCAAAGCCTCAAACTAATATACAGTCCTCAGCATTATTGAGTACACCCCATGCAATGTATTTTGGTGCATTTAAACAAAACAATTTTTTACACAGATATATTTAAATAATACTTTAGTCACCAAACATATGTAGAAATGGAAAGATAATACAATTAAATTCAAGCAAAAAATTGCAAAGAAAATTACAACCTACAACATTTCAACAAAATTTTTCCATTTTTTTGTTTCTCCTGATTTTTCCTCAATTTTGCCTAAATTCGTATTTAATATTTTTCTTTTACATTTGGGTATACAAGTTTTTGGATCATTATCTTAAATTAATATTGTATAGCTTCCTATTAAAAATAAGAATTTTGATGAGGGGTGTACTTATATATGCTAAGCACTGTACGCCCAACCAAAATACAATTTATACACTAAAATGTTCACCTTGCCTATGACTTTAAACATTTTTAAAACTACAGTTAACTTCTTCTCTGTAAAACTTTAAATGAGAAAAAATATGGACTGCACCTTTAATTAATATATTAACTCAATCACAACGGTCTCTAAAATGACATGTCAGCAAAAAAGAGAAGTCAATTCAGAAGCGAAGCAAGTTATTACATTGTCATGAAAGATCATCATGAAGACCAATATTCCTTTCTTCAGAAACAAAGAGAGCTAATGAACCAATCACAAAAAAATAATAATAATGAAAAATCAAAAAGTAAGAAAGTAAGGTGTCCATTTTGATTTCACATCGGCTTTAAGGTCAGAATGAGGGTCATTTATTGAGTATAACATATAAGTCATTAAAAACAACACATCAGTCTCCTCTCTGGGCCACAAAGAAAACACAGAGACAGTGAGAGAGAGAGAGAGAGAGAGAGAGAGAGAGAGAGAGAGAATGAGAAGGAAGCCGTTCCTGAGGCCTCCCCTCATTAGCATAAAGTGAAGCCCGGTAGCAGTAGGCAGCAATGCAGTGTGCTTGAACTTAATACAGGCTGACAGCCTCACGCACCCTCGCCCTGCCTGCACACACACACACACACACACACACACACACACACACACACACACACACACACACACACACACACACACACACACACACTGCGCAGACGCAGATCTGTCAGGCAGCTCTGCTCACTCAGGAAGTACAAGTGACTGGGCCTGTTGCTTTGCTGCCTGTTACTATGACAAACACAGTCAGCTGGGAATCCACCCAAAGAGTTGACAAAGAGAGAGAGAGAGAGTTTTGGGAGAAAAGGAGGCTGAGGAAAGTTAAAGGAAGAAAGCTTTCTCTTCTCTCGCTACAGCTTCTGAGCTGAAGGATCTAAAACAACATACGACTCGCTGGAGAGAAAATCAGGTTACGTCTGCTGAAGAAGGATGTGCATTCCCAAACATGCTGGTTAACATGCAGAGCACACACATAATTGGTAAGATGAAGGGTTTATGAATAAATATGGACATCAATGATTAATTGACAATTGATTGATTCATTTATGATTGATTGATTGTTGGTAAAACCACCCCAGTTTCATT